TTCAGAAGTTTCTTAAGAAGCAAAATTGGTGCCCTAAAAATATGAAGGGTAGAAGTGCTTTTCATTGGCTCCAAACTGTTTCAAATTCCAATCAACATAATCTCAAAACTTAAATTGGGCTTATAGAAGAACTCTGTTAAATCTATCCTTTTGTCTTTTGGAGTGTCACAAAGAAAGACATGAAAGAATGTCATCATTCCTGACCTAGTATCTTAGCTTCAGTCACTTTCCTGCCATCACAATATAGTTTCCCTATGCCTTTTATTTATCCTGGGTATGACGATAAACTACATCCGCGTCCAAGGGAAGACAATAAACTACGTCCAACAGCAAGGCCTCTGGTCAGGAGGCTTTGAGGAGCCTTAATTGCTGGTGTTCCCAGGTCCACCCTGACCCGGGGTGGTAGCACCTGTTAGGGTCCCAACTATGGGTAAATAGTTAACCCCAAAACTGAGGTAAAAAGCATTATGAAAGTGTAAGACTAGGTTTTAATATCAGAAATACTTTGTAAAAAAAAATTATTACCAGAAATAAATTTTTGAAGAAGAAAAACTATTATGAGAAATACATTTTTTGGAACTATATTACCAGCTATACATTTTTGAGGAAAAAAATATTACCAGAAATAGATTTTTGACAAAACAAAAATATTACCAGAAAAAAAGTTGTCGGCATTAAATGACCCATTGAGGTTGATATGCCGTAAAACAAACCAAACCAATGCCTTTTATATAAATACTTTTATGGTAATTTTTCTGATGAACTTTCCTCTATGGTACCTAGTCTTTGTGAAGTTAAGCTTAGTACGAGATTGGTGGCAAAGTTTCATCATTTTCAGTTAAAATGGTTAGATGTAACCGTAAGTTCTATGCTAACAGTTTCTTCTCTCACATAAGATTCACTTATTGGCATCTCAGCTTCAGTCACTTTCCTACCACCATAATGTAGCTTTCCTTTGCCTTTCCTTTAAATAATTTCATGCTAATTCTTCTTTTCACTATGGTACATAGACTTTATGAATTTAAGTGCAGTACTAGATTGGTGGCAAGGTCTCATCATTTTACAGTTAAAATGGCTAGATGTAACCGTAAGTTCTATGCTAACAGTTTCTTCTCTCACACTTCTCGATTTTTTAGATATACTTTTGATTAAAATGTTGTCCAGATACATCACTGTGAAAATGCAATCTGCACAGATAACTGGTGCCACCTTTATACCAAAAGGATGTCAGTTAAACTTCTATAATCTTCCGTGCATATTTATGGTCGTTAATTGTGAATATTCATTTTCAATCTGAATTTGTAAATACACCTCACAGAGATCCAGCTTTGAAAATATTCTTCTGATGTTTAACTTCAAAAAAATTTCCTCTGGATTTGGTAATAGGTAGTTATATGTTTCTAAACAACTGTTTAATCCTGTCGCAAAATCTGTGCAAACACCAATTTTATTATTTTCTTTCTTTATGTACACTGCTGGTGCAGCTCATTTTGAAAGGTTTATTTTTTCTATTACACCAATTCTTTGGAGCCTGTCCAACTCTTCATTGATTTGTTCCAATGCTTCAAATGGTATGCTCTGTTTCCACTTAAGTACTGGTGTTGAACCTTTTTTTAACCTGAAAATCAACCTTGAATTTTGAACACCAATGCAGTTAATTTGACAGAACAACTGGAAAACCTTTCTTTGTAATTCTTCCTTAAGATTTTTGCTCTGACATTTTAAATTGGTTGCTTGTCCACTTATGATTTTTACAATAAATGGTTGTCAGCAAATCTCCAATTTCAAATAGTTCCATCCTGTCAGTACCGAATAAATTGGTAGCATTTTTAATACATAAGCTTCAGATTTTACATGCTTATTATGGTATGAGACATTATCAGTCATTTCTAAAAAAAAAAAAAAAAAATTTCTCACCACAAACTGAAATTGTGATTTTGGAAGTCCTTTTTAATAAAGGACTTACAATTTCCTTCCATGTGTTCTCACTGATTATTGAAATATCACTACCAGTGTCCAGTAACATTTTCACACCAACATTACTTATTTTCGAATTCACAAATTTCCTTTTGTTTTCTGTGGCCATTTTTACCATCACAATGCTGTGTATGAATTTCTTTCTGTGAGAATTTTTTTCTTTCTTTGGTTTATCAGTGTGACTTTATATGTCCTTGTTTACCACACTTGTAACATTCTGCAGTTTTAAATTGGCAGTCATTTCCAAGATGAAACCATATCTGAAAGATTTATTCTCCTTTTTGTATATTTGCCCTTTGCTTGTACCAATGCACATCCTATATTCTGAATTTCTTCAGTATCATGTTTCAGATTTAGAATTGTCAGGCAACCATCCACTATTTCTTGCAGTGTAATATTACAATTTTGTTCAATTTTCCTTAAAATTTTCACTAATATTTTAGCATCTTTTTTAGCTATTAGACATTGTACGAAAATTAATGCCGTGAACATTTCTAGAGTCATTTCCTTTATTCTTAACTTTTCAGATTTTTTGTTGATGATACCAGCATATTTGACAAAATCTTTGTCCTCTTCCTTGGTAATATTCAAGCACCTTAAACGAGCATTAAACAGAGAGCTCTTACCACTAAAGATTTTTGTCAGAATGTGTATCATGTCTTCAAACCTGATTTCACCTGTTTTTTCAGTAATATGTAGTTGCAGTATTTTTCATAATCTATCAGAGCTATTTTCCTCAAGAACAATCTTGTTTTTCTCTCATCTTCCTAGTCCCTCATCAGGTTTGTATACAAATTCTGATGTGGTGTTTTGAACAGTATCTGGAATAAGAGACATTGAAAAATCTCTTGTTTTCTTTAGAATTATATCCAACAACCCCTGTTGGTGTTTTTGTAGTTCTACCAACTGTTGATTTTGTTATTGTTGCTGTTTTGTTGTTGAATTTCAAGTATAGAAGCCAAAATTTGCTCCATATCTGCAAGAATTTTTTCTTTCTACACCCAAGAGACAAAAACATTTTTTAACACAAGAAGAAAAACATTTTCTTTAAATTAATGTGTTTAAAATTCTTGTCATCACCCATATCTTTGTTCCCAAGGCAACAAGTATATTTTTCCCCATACTAGTTCACTCAGTATGAGTTTTCAAAATCCTTATAACCCCAGTTACAACTCATATGAGTTCCTAAATTATCGTAAGAGTTCTGAATCCTCGTCACAACGGTTATAAATCGCCTGAGCTTTGAATTCCTTGTCACCATTATTATAATGTGCTTCATAGCGCTTATAATATAAGCAATGCTTTGGCAATTTGCCATAATGCCTGTATTAATTAGCTTGAGGAGTGATTCCAAATTGCTTTTTCTTACCTCTAACCTGGAGTTCTTTATTTATAGTGATGGACTAGTTCAGAGAATCACTGGGGGGTGTATTATTTACTCTACAACATCCCCGGGATCTCCACCTATGTATTCCAAACTCTTCCTTTTCTCTCCCCTCCCTTTTCCCAATTATTCTAATCCTCTCTATCCTCCCCTCTGTATTCCAACCTTCCAAACTCTTCCTTTTCTCTCCCCCTCCCTTTTCCCAATTATTCTAATCCTCTCTATCCTCCCCTCTGTATTCCAACCTTCCAAACTTTTCCTTTTCTCTCCCCCTCCCTTTTCCCAATTATTCTAATCCTCTCTATCCTCCCCTCTGTATTCCAACCTTCCAAACTCTTCCTTTTCTCTCCCCCTCTCTTTTCCCAATTATTCTAATCCTCTCTATCCTCCCCTCTGTATTCCAACCTTCCAAAATCTTCCTTTTCTCTCCCCTCCCTTTTCCCAATTATTCTAATCCTCTCTATCCTCCCCTCTGTATTCCAACCTTCCAAACTTTTCCTTTTCTCTCCCCCTCCCTTTTCCCAATTATTCTAATCCTCTCTATCCTCCCCTCTGTATTCCAACATTCCAAACTCTTCCTTTTCTCTCCCCCTCCCTTTTCCCAATCATTCTAATCCTCTCTATCCTCCCCTCTGTATTCCAACCTTCTAAACTCTTCCTTTTCTCTCCCCTCCCTTTTCCCAATCATTCTAATCCTCTCCACCCCTATCCTTTCCTCTTCCAACAACACCCTCACTTTTGTTTTATTTCTGACCATTATTTATCTCCTTCCATTCTACTTTCCCCTCATTTCTGTGTCCCTCCTCTCCATCTGCCTTCACCCCTGCTACTTTTTCTCCTCTCTCAAATGTCTTCATATCTTTTTAGTCTCCCTCTTTTTTTAACTCTCCCCATCCTTCCTTTCTCTTTTCTTCCACCACTTTGTTCTCCTCTTCTCATCCCACCTTTTTCATATAAAATCAAACTATCACCAACCCACCCACCAACACCACCACTAAATCCTCCCCCTTCATATTCATTCATTATTCCTCCTCATCGCCATTAAAAAGAAAAAAAAAGTTCTTCACACCTGTTTCTTTCACTGATGACGTCCCCTCACTCTCGATGTAGGTGTCACAGAAAACCTGATTAACTTTCACCCAGTCTTTGGGGAAATCCAACTGGCATTAACATCTGTTTAGCAACAAGAAATATGGCTTTATAACTTTGGTCCAAGAACTTCAAATTTTTTTTTTTCTGGATTCTATTTTTCTTTGAGAAAACAGTTTTTGCGTTGTTTGAATCCGAGAAACACAGACAGACAAGAGAAAAATACCAAAATAAAAACCAAGATATGGAATATTGAATCTTGAGAAAATAAATTGCTTATATATATATATATATATATATATATATATAAAACCAATTTATTGGTGAGAAGTAGGAAATTACATATATCGTTACATAGAGGAATCAACTATACATCATGGAGAGACGCATGTGCACAGGGAGGATGAGTCGAAATTGTAAATATAATAATTGATGTGGAGATGCGCAGAAAGATTAACAGTGTCTGAAAGGAAGCACCTTTGTATATGGGGTGAAGGAAGAGAAAGACAATGGAAGAGCTCATTATCCCACGGTGAAAGACAAGGAAAGGTCAGTGCATGGTGGGGATGGGGAAAGAAGCAATGGGTGTCTGATCAACATCAGGGAAGAAAAAGAAGTCAAAAGAAAACTTGGGTGGAGTAAGAGACAAGAAAATACCTGTGTAAGGGAAAGATGGAGAGAGAGGCAAAGGGAGAGTAATACACAGTGGTAAAACAAAAACACTGATAAGTTTAGAAAGAGAAGCCAGATTTAAGAGAGACCAATAAAGCAGAAAGAGAAAAGTGTGCAAAGGAATCCACAAAATGCAGAAGGGAGACAAATGTGCAAACCAGGAAGGACAATGGAGAGAGTAATCTGTAGACAGAGAGAGAAACAATAGATATTTAGTGTGTGACAAACATTAAAAAGGAGAGAGAGAGAGAGAGAAGGAGAAAGAGAGAGAGAGAGAGAGAAGGAGAAAGAAGAGAAGAGAAGGAGGAAGGGAGCAAGAGCAAGAGGGGAGAAAGGGAGCAAGAGAGAGTGAGAGAAGGAGGAAGGGAGCAAGAGAGAGTGAGAGAAAGAGGAGAGAGTGAGAGAAGGAGAAAGGAGTGGGAGAGATCAAAAAAGGGAAGAAAGAGAGAGAGAAGGAGAAAGCGAGAGAGAGAAGGAGAAAGAGAGAGTAAGAGAAGGAGAAAGAGAGAGTAAGAGAAGGAGAAAGAGAGAGTAAGAGAAGGAGAAAGAGAGAGTAAGAGAAGGAGAAGGAGAAAGAGAGTAAGAGAAGGAAGGGGAAGAAGAGAGAGTAAGAGAAGAAGGAAGGGACAAGAGAGTAAGAGAAGAAGGGAGCAAGAGTAAGAGAAGGAGAAAGAGAGAGTAAGAGAAGGAGAAAGAGAGATTAAGAGAAGGAGGAAGGGGACAAGTGAGAGTAAGAGAAGAAGGAAGGGAGCAAGCGAGAGTAAGAGAAGAAGGAAGGGAGCAAGCGAGAGTAAGAGAAGAAGGAAGGGAGCAAGCGAGAGTAAGAGAAGAAGGAAGGGAGCAAGCGAGAGTAAGAGAAGGAGGAAGGGAGCAAGAGAGAGTAAGAGAAAGAAAGAGAGACAAAGAGAACAGAGTGAGTAAGAGAGAAAAAGAGGGGGAAAGAGAAGGGAGCGAAAGAGAAGGGGGAGATAAAGAAAGAGAAGGAGGAGTGAGAGAGATAGAAAAAGAGGGGGGGGATTCTAAAACCATTTCAGACTACAAGACAAGAAACATAAGAAATAGACAATTTGCAATTCTGCATGGAAATGAAGGCAGCTCAAAGCATCGCTTTTTGACAGAAAGAATTATGGTAAAGATTGAAAAGGAGGCTCTGTTCATCAGCAGGACAGAGAAAGCGGCCAGCTGCCTATACATAATGCATCGTTCATCAAACAGCCCAGTGATGGAAATTCTGGTTTGGTTCATGCATATTCATTAGATCGCAAGCCAAGTTATTTGGAAGAGAGTGATATTCCCAAAGGAAAAGCGAAAACCATCAGAGGCAGGGATGTACGAAACGGAGGAGGGCGTCAAGAATATTAAAAGAAAAAGAAACAATGGGAGGAAATGAAAGAAAAAATTAATAAATAAATACCTCTGTCCCATAATAGTTATTATATTTTCATACACATTTTATATAATGTAGTAACTATTACAGGACAGAAGTTGTTTCTGTGTGAGGTAATGGTTAACAAGCTAGTTTTATTCAACATTATGACAGAGTTGAGATTTCAATATGTACTTATAGCAAACTAAGTTGGACTTATTAGCTATTATAGGATGGGGGTAGTTATTTATGAGAATAAATATGTCAGTGGTAGTGAAATATATATATATATATATATACATACACTTCATATATGAAATACACATACACTTCATATATGAAATACACATACACTTCATATATGAAATATACATATATACACTTCATATATGAAATATACATATATACTTCATATATGAAATATATATAGGGGTAGTTATTTATGAAATATAAATATATATATGAAATATACATATATATATATATATATATATATACATATATATATATATATATACACATACACTTCATATATGAAATATACATATATACATAGACTTCATATATGAAATATATATATATACATATATACACATACACTTCATATATGAAATATACATATACTTCTTCATATATGAAATATACAATATACATACACATATATATATACACATATATGAAATATACTTACACATATATATGAAATATACATATATACACACTTCATATATGAAATATACATATATATATATATATATGAAATATACATATATATATATATATATATATATATATATACACTTATATATAAAATATACATATATACATACACTTCATATATGAAATATAATATATACACTTTGAAATATACATTACACACTGAAATACGACAGACAATATATGGTTTGTTCACTATATATATATATATATATATATATATAATTTATATTTGTGTCAGTGGGTCTTTCATGTACATTTAATGACAACAAAAGTTGGTTTGTTGGTTGTTTTTGGTATATCAACACCTTGGGGACAACAAAATTTTTGGTTGGTTGGTTGGGTTTTATGGCATATCAACCACTGAAAAAATTTTTGGAATAGATACATAGTGATAGTTTGGTAAAAAAGGTGTATATGTATACATATATATTTGAACTATTTTTCAATTACTCATATTTTTGAGTACAATCACATGTGTTGCTGGTTATTTTTTTTTTTTTTTCAAAAACGTATTGCTGGTAATTTTTTTTTTTCAAAAATTAATTTCTGGTAATAATTTTTTTCAAAGTATTTCTGGTATTAAAACCTATTTTTACACTTTTATAATGATTTTTATCTCAGTTTCGGGGTTAACTATTTGTCCATAGCTGGGACTAACAGGTGCTACCACCCTGGGTCAGGGTGGATCTGGGAACACCAGCAATTAAAAGGTGGTTCCACGCCCCTCAAAACCTCCTTATCAGAGGCCTTGCTGTTGGACGTAGTTTATCTGCTTACCCTTGACGTGGATCTAGTTTATCGCCATACCCAGGATGCCCCATGGGGAGGGGTATTACCCCTCTGCAGAGGTGCAGTCAGCATATTCTACAGCCCCAGCTGACAGGGAGGACAACAGACAAGGTGCTTTTATTTAGTTTTTTATATAATTTCTCATGCGATCTAATAATTTTTTTCTTTTCAGATGATAAATTATATAACATTATATATATATATATACATGTATAGAATTGATGTAGACATAATAAATTCCAATAACTATAAATACTATTTGTAAAAAAGTGCTCAATGCAAAGTAGAGCAAATATTATTTATTCAAAAATTATAACATAAACATGTTATGACATCACTACAAAAATTGCCATTTTGTTTCAAGAAATCTGGTGTCTTATCAAGTGATAGTGTTGACACCACAAGTGTTGAAACAAAATGGCTATTTTTTGTAGTGATGTTGTAACATGTTTATGTTATAATTTTTGAATAAATAAAATTATATATATATCAGTCAGTTTTGTGCCATGCGCGATACATGCTTAGGCAACCATGTATATATGACTGACGAGGCAGATTTTTTCCTGCAGTAGGTTGCCATTTTTTTCTGCGGTAGACCAGTTGCCATCCAAGGTTATAGAATCCAATCTGTCCTGCTATTTAGCCATAGCTGGGGGGGTAGAAGAGGATTCATTCCTTTCCGAAGGATATTAGCACGTAAGTGAATGCAATGGATCTGACTGGAATTCGAACTCGGCTCTCTGATAAGACAAAACTCATCTATGGACCCCCCCCCCATCAACGGATTTTGGATGCAATATACAAAATCTGCAGACAAAAAAAAAAAAAAAAAAAACTTACAAATCATAAGTGATATATTTCAAAATTTTCAGGCTTAGCGGAACAAGTCATTAATTCTCAAAGTGACCACTTGGCGAGCCTTTCAATTGTAAACAAAGACAGGTGTACAGTACATAAAGTACAATAGAGTAACACATGTGCGAGAAAGTAGCTGTGTGAAATCTATTATTTTAGTTGTTTTAATTTATATATCTATATTAAGTATATATTTATTTATGCCATATATACATGTTTACATTATTTACATTATGATCATTAGTACTGGTCGTTACTATAGTGGCTTTATAACTCAAAAATATCCCTTCCCATCTCTGTACAATCAGCTTTAACAGACCACCCATCTCCCCCTATTAGTCCGTTGATGAGAGGTTTGTCTGTGATAATAAAGAGAGGAAATAAGCTGGACTATGAAAGAGTTTGATGGAGTTGTTTCTTGCGGTTCATCAACCGTTCAGAGTTATTCAAAGCTGAAACATATTTTGGACTGTATGAATAATTCTATTATTTAACCCATAGCTGAGAGGAGATGGATTCATACATTTCCCAAGGGTATTTGTGTATAAGTGAATATAACAAACTTGAATGGGATTTGAACTCAGCTCTTTGACTTTCTATTCTGAACTGATATCAATTACACCAACCACACATCCCAGAGAGAGAGAGGGCGAGAATAATGAAAAAAATAGGATAAAAGGATGCTGGATAATCAAGAGAAAAGCAGGTCAAAAGAATGTTTATGATGACTAGAATGAGACAAGCAGAAGTGAAGTAGAGGCAAAATGGGACAGAAGAAAAGTCAAAGGAAGCCTTGCAATGGATAAAATGAGAAGTAGAGGCAAAATGGGACAGAAGAAAAAAATCAAAAGAAGGCTTGTGATAGACAAAATGAAACAAAGTGGAATTGGAGGCAAAATAAGACAAAAGAGAAATAAAAAAATAGAAGGAAATTTTTAAGGGATTCATTTACTTTTGCGCAGCAATGTATATGTAGGTGATTTAGGATATCATCTATTTCTGGGACTTCAGTGTGTAGATCTTCTCATATTTGCTAATGTAATTTCTCATTTGATAAGTGAGCATTGACCATTGAAATCTTTCCATGCTAATATCCTTGTTCCCCACAGGGTCATGTAATCTGAATAAGGTATATTTAATATATATAT